ATTTTAATAGAAGCAGCGGTTTCTAATACAGATTTTACAGTACAAGTAACAAGTAAAGAAACTTTTACATTACAGTGAATTCTAAATTCATTCTTCAATTGCAATTCATTTTTTACCAAAAACTATCAAAATTTTAAATTTGCAATCTGAAATCATTACTAAAGTTTCATTGGTGTATGGCAACAGTCTGAATTTGTGCAAACTATGTGTTCTTAATTTTTTTGGTGAAATCATTCAATACTACAACAGCAAGAAAAATTTTCAATGTTTAAAATTTTTAAACAAAGTATGTATCAATTGATTATTGTACAAACATCTTAAGGTAGAAGCCTACTTATAATTTGTGGAAACTTTAGGAAATATGCATGAAACATTGATGTAAGTTGGAAATTGCTTTGGCTTCCCTTTTGTTCAAATTTCATTAATTAGTACTTTAGAATAATGTTTCAATGCATTTACATTCCCAAAAGTTTTATCTACATTCCAAAATACAGACTGCAGTAATTCAGAACACGAGTAAATTTGGGAAATCATCAAATACTGTAAAGGCATTAATGCTGATAAGTAAAATCTGCTAAATTAAATCCATGTAATTATGTAAAATAACAACAGTACTCATTGTTTCCTGATGGAATTAAAACCCAGTGAACTTGCTTAATGCATTAAAATGTGAAAATAATAAATTGATACTTTACAATAAAACTATAGGGATATCTACGTACAAATTTAATAGTTCAACATTCTCTAAGTATGAAATTCAATCCACATTTGATGACTAGCTTCAATGAGGACAAGATGAACGGACAGACAGACGGACCGACGAACGGACGGACAGGTGGACGGACAACACTGACTGACTGACTCTTATACTGTTACCTTATATGTATGTCTACAGTGTGGATAGACAAAAGCTAACAACTTACATCAGCATATGCCATCTTGCTGTGAATATCCAACACAACACTCCATGATTTAGTGTTCAAAAGAAATGCTATACACTGTTCTAGTATTTCTTCCCTTGGTGCAATATCTGTAATTATATCAACCTAATTAATATGCAAGATAAATGTGGACCCTACAGTTAGATAACAATTTGGTTTTTTTCAAAGTCTGAGAACAAAATCCGTAAAAAAAAGACATGACGGTGACACACACCAAACAGGATGCAAATGAAATATATTTTGCTTTTAGTTTATGTAAAGAAGGTAAAAATTGTCAGTGTCTCACATAGATCCATACTCACCACTTGGTGATGTAGTCATGCATGACAAGATCCTTTTGATATAATCTTCCTTCTGTTCATTATTGATACGAGTCGTATTTTCACTCAATATCTCAACATACAATATCTCTTGTTTTATGGCCTTGGTGAGTTTAAATGAGATGTCCTTGACTCTCATAAGCCCAGCTTCTAAAAGATTTTTGGCAGCAGAATAATTCTGCAAACAAATGATGTTAGTTGATTATTAATATAGTGACATCATAGTAGCAGGTAATAGCATCAATTTTAGGTTTTGACTGTATTACTTCACTGTCAGATGTCATAATGTATGTACATATCGCTACAGTAAGACAGAGAAGATCAAAAAACCATATCACTAAAATGTAATGTCTCATACTATCGACACATATTGTTGAAGCATCCAAGTTTCTACACAGTCAAATAGAATATGATAAATATGATCTATACTGGTAAGCTCTTGTTTTTATTTAGTATTATTCTGTCTCTCAAAATAAATTAGTTGAAATTTTAAAATCTTCATGCAAATTTCAGCAAAGATTTCAAACAAATGGTGCAACAAATCTATAATCCTATGATATTTTCATAGTGTAAAGTCAACAAACACTCATGATTACTGCCAATTGGATTAACCTATTGAGAGCCAGATATTTTTCCCAAGATTCAATGGAAATATTTTCACATTTTGTAAACTTTTCAGTAAATTTCATAACAATTTTGAACCATGCAGACAGTTTCAGATATTGCTTATAGTTTACGATCAGAAGGTTTGTCAATTTTTCTCAACATTTCATGTAAGAAGGAGCAGACTACACACAATAATTTTGTAGATGGTGCCAAAATTTGAAAATGGCACTCAAAGGATTAAAGTAAGATCCTTGTTCGGGCTTTATTTTCTTATCTTTTAGGTGTCTTCTTTCTTTCTTTTTTTTTTTTCATTTTTTATAGAGAGTAATGGACACATTTGATAATTCTTGAAACAAGCAGCCTCTCGACTGAAATAGCTCGCTGTATAGTATCAAAGCAATCCAACTTTATACCAAAAATTACAAAAATATTCATCAAAATTCGATAATTGAACATATTACGAAATGAACAAATCTGACACAGGACTACCCCCAAAAATCTATGTTGCAAATATGAAAGCATTTGGTTCAACGATTTTGAAGAAGAAGACAAACATGTAAAAAGTTGACAACAGACTACAGTCACGAACAATCAGTAATATGAAGAGCTCTGCGTTGTTGACTTTGTCTACAGCGGAGCTAACAAAACCTGTCATTAGTGCTCACACACTGAGATACCTTCATGTAATTAAAATAATGTGGTGTACCTTTATCTGTCGACAGTGCTCTGCTTTCACCAGCATAATGAAGACCAAGTCTTGTGTTAAAACATTCCCCATGCCATCTATGATGAACTGATAATTCTTTGATATGTACCACTGTGAAACAAACAGTTTGAGTTAATATTGGAGTCGGGATGGACCAGGACCAAAAAAAAAACAGCCCTGGACTTTCCCGCCAATAAGCCCACCAAAAAAACGGAGGGAGGGGGAGGGGCAGTTATTCTGCATGAATGTTGGCTATTAAAGGTTTATGCAGTTAGTGCTGATGCCCGTACGGCAGTTCTGGACTTTTCACCCCACAACATACATATGTAACTCACTTC